CCCCCCTTGGAAGGGCAACACGGCTCCAGGGGAACATCTGTGAGGCCAATTAGCAGGGCCGGGAATGCAGTATAATTGTTGTTTAAATATATTTAAATTGCATGTTAATCACTGCGTCATAATTTATAGGCTTGGAAAATAACATTTTGTACTTGAGAGCCAAGCCAGATTTTACTTGTTTCTGCTGTTTTTAGTTTTCAATAAGCCCTCTCCTTTCTGCCTCCCCTCCCCTCCCCATACCCGAAGAGCTGAACTGTGAGTATTGGGAAGCCTAGTAGCGGCAAGTGACCTGGTGCATCAAAATGAAGGTCCTCCCAGGGATCGGAATGAGCTGGAGGGACCTTCAAGCTCTCCGAGAAGCAAGCGGTGCGCTCCGTTAAAAGGCTTTTTTCTTTCATTGTGCAACTTTCTGCTGTCTGCCACTGCCCAGCCTGTGGCTCTCCGTGCCGCAGCATTAGGTGCATCTATCCATTAGCTGGTGAGGGGACTGGCTGTCAGCAGGAGGGGCTAGAAAGAGGCGGGTTATGAACTGACAGGCGATTCAAAGTCGCTCCTGGAGTGGGGACTTGTCAGGGTGATAGATAGAGAGACGTTTCATGTTGTGGCCTAATCACTGGGACACTGTATGATTCACTCGGACTCAGGGGCCAGAGGTCACACAGAAGGCAAGCAACAGCAACTATAGGGACGGCAGTGTGACGCGCACCTTTCGATACATCGTGCCCTGTGCTTGCTTTTTTTTATTTGCATGATAAACATTTGAATCTTTGTCTTCTTACATGCGCAGCATCTCTCATCTTTGTAATACCTAATATTGTTCCGAGGTAATTTGAAAATTACAAACCAGATGGATTGTGCCCTCTGATATTTCTATCGAATAAATATAATTTCTTAAGAACCAAACAAAAATATACTCCAAGTGCTTAATTCGAATCCGAAGGAAACATGGACTTAATGAGAGAGAATTGTTTTTATCTTTAGACAGTTGTTTCTGTCAACATTATAACATCATCTATGGGAGTAAAACTTCTAGGGTCATGAAACATGTTAGAGCCCTTTTAACGAAAATAAAACGTGTGTCTGTGAGAACTGCTGCTCATACTCATGTT